GTTTTCTATGGATGAAGATTGCCCTGCGCGCGCTTATGACTTTGCTTCTTGCCTTGATGGTATGACGATACGTTACGATGTTTGTCATACTTCGTACATGTATGTCTTGTACAATTACAGAATTTCAGGGATTTTTGTTGTTGTTTGTTTTTTTTTTTCTGCAATGAGATTAGAGGACTGATGATGACCTTTGATTGAGTGGTTGGTTAATGCGGTTCTCTGTTAGATAGAGCAGAGCGTTCCTATATCTCTCACAGCTCGACACGTCTGACTTCAGAGTCTTATATGTCTGAGGTTGTTGGTGCTCTCTGATCATGATGCTTCGCGGCCTTTGTCCGCTTTGATATAAAATACAATGGCAGCTCAAAGCTTGAAGTGGGGTAAGATTCTATGTTGAATAACCGATGCCGGAGCTATTGCAAAACCACCTTTAACACTTATACCAACATCTACCCGCAGATAGGCAACAGGTTTGTTCCCTCTGACAGTTCACATACTAGAGTCTGGACGCAAACCACCACAAACTATCATGGACCAGAAGCCCAATCCCAGCGACTTTAACCCTTCGGGCCACTTCGATCAGCTCTCGTCCAAATATGACAATCTAATCGGCCTCATGACGGGCGACATCGCACGCTACACCTTACGAGAACTGATTGAGCCTCCCAGTTCAGAGATGGTGATCCACGACAACGCCTGCGGCACAGGTCTCGTCACCGAATACCTGCAGCAGGTTTCTTCCCAGCGGGGAATCTACCCGAGGAAGATCCACGCCACAGACTTTGTGCCGTCCGTCACCCAAGTGATGCAGACCAAAGCGACGCAACAGCAGTGGAAGAACGTGGACATCTCGGTCATGGACAGCCAGGACCTCACGTTTGCCGACGGCACGTTCGACCTGAGCATCACCAACTTTGGCATCTTTTTCCTGCCCGATCCGCAAAAGGGGGCGGACCACATCCACCGCACGCTGAAGCCCGGCGGCGTCGCGGTCGTCACGGCGTGGAAAGAGCGGCGGATCATGGACACGATCGCCGCCGCGCAGGAGTCGATCCGGCCGGATCTGAAGACCCTGTCGAGCCCGTGGGCCGAGCGCTGGTCGCGGGAGGAAACACTGCGAGACGTCCTCCTCGCCGCAGGCTTCAAGGCCGAGAACGTGCGCATCGTGGAGAAACGGACGGACGCGGTGGTAGAGCCGTTCCTGCGCGACCCCGACATGGTCGCCAGGTCGTACCCTGCGGCCGTGGAGGGGTGGAGCGACGAGGAAAAGGCGAGACTGGGAGGGGAGATGTTGAGGATCGCGCGCGAGAGAGATCCCGAGGGTGGGGGTGTCGGCGGTCTCTACTTTGTGGCGTATGTCGCGATAGCGAAAAAGTGAAATGATAACTAAAATGACTGGTGGTGATTGAGCCTTTGTTTGTCTCATCTAGTCTACAGTGCGAATACGGACATTTCCCTTTCCTTGTGGGTTTCTGCCCCAGATACGCATCACGACGCACGACGCATGAGCTGAATTCGCTGCTCCTCGATCAAAACATCTCTGCCTCTGGCCCTTGAAACGCGTAGATCAAATTACAATTATATCACTCTTAATCCAAGCCAAGTCCATCTTGAGTCTATCTTTCCCTTCTGGGCGTTTGCTGAAGTGCGGGGTGCGCTTATCCCAGCCATATCAAGGGGTACGGTCCGAGAGAGGTCTAGATGTCAGCTAGGTTTCATATCAATGTTCCCCTCGTGCGACTCATGACTTGATACAAATTACTTGTCTCACCTATCCCATCTGCAACTCAGTCTCTCTTCATTTCGCACGCAGCTTTCTGTGATAGTAGCCACAGAAATGTCATCCAAGCCCGTCATCGTGTTCGTGCCTGGCGCGTGGCATGTCCCTGAGACATTCTATCTCGTGGTTGGCGAGCTCGAGGCCGCCGGCTATGAGACCAGGGGAGTCAAACTCGCCTCGGTCGGCTCGCCCGAGCCGCTCAAAGACTTTCAGCCTGACGTGGAGGCCATCCAACAAGTGTTGAGGCCAATCATCGAGGACGAGGGGAAAGAAGTCTTGCTCGTCGTCCACTCCTACGGGGGTGTCGTGGGAAACGAAGCCGTGAAAGGCCTGGACAAAGCCTCACGCGAAAAGGAGGGCAAGAAGGGAGGCGTGTCGCACATCTACTTTTGCTGCGCCTTCGCCCTCCCTGAAGGGGTGTCCCTGATGGACGCGCTCAACCAGACCCCCCTGCCGTGGTTCCGGATCAATGACTCTGAAGACATTGTCAACCCCGCCACGCCGATCGACACATTCTACAACGACGTCGACGGCCCGGAGAAATACGTGGCAATGCTGAAGCCGCACAGCTACCGCACCTTCTTTTCAAAGGTGACCCAGCCGGGCTGGAAGTTTGTGCCGAGCACATATCTGCTGTGTGAAAGGGACGAGGCCATCCCGATTCACGCTCAGAAGGGGATGGTAGAGGGAGCTCAACAGGCTGGGGCGCAGATGAGGGTCGAAACCGTCGACGCCAGTCATTCTCCGTTCTTGAGCATGCCGCAGGAGATGGCGAGGTCAATTAGGCGTGCGGCGGGTGAGGCAGTGTAAAGGGGGAACGGAGAAGGGTGAGATACAGCCGAGAATATTTTGAGATGTGAGTAGGTACATATGTATGAGATGTGTATATTACACCTGGTGTCTGCCTGATGCCCAACGAGCCTCTGGAAGAAGGAAATGACACAGTCTGACAGAAAGAAGATGCGCTCTCAGAATTCAGATGCTCTGCCGTACTACCCCGGATCTGTTCAGCCACGCCAATCACTCCTCCTGCTTCCGATTGGCTGTCGATGACTGCAAGGGCGCAGCTGCAGGCCCAGACGAAAAAAGGATTCCGATTTCGTCCCCGAGATTTTCTTTACGGGCAAACCAGATTTTGCGACCATTTCGAGGGCCTGACAGCACAACAACCAACCCAGCACGGTAATACCTTTTGCCTGCCACCCTTCTTGACATATCTCTTGGAGCTAGAATACCGCCCGGGGTTCCTTTATTTCGTGGAAAAAAACATGCCTCTCCCATAAACTGTCGCGTTCTTCCCACCTCTCGCTGCCCCGCCATGAGTCAAAATAATCCTCCCCCAAAACTCCCCTCTCTAGACCACAGCACCAGTATCCCTCCTCCCGCGACCTTACACCCGAAGCCTCGCTCTGCCGTACCCTCATACCTGCTGAACGGTTCCTCTCCCCTACACCGTTCGCAGACGACGACTCGAGCGCAGGAACGAGAGAACCTGGCATCTTCTATCCAAGCTACGTACGGCCGGCGGAAAACCATAGATCTCACCGCCGAAGGCCAAACAACCTCACAAGCCACCATGCCGAGCGGGACGTCATGGCTGGGCTTGGAGAACACGCAAAAAGACACCGAGTCCAAGCGTCCTACAACACTGCATACCCCCGCTCGAGATGAGCGAGACGAGGCACCACCCACCCCTCCTGCCTCCACGGTATCGCGCCCTGCAAGTCCCTATACATTGAATCCGCCCATCGACTTTGACGGTCTTTCCTGGCCGTGTATCGGCACTCGCGAACGCCTCGATCAGACTCCCGAACAGGCACAGGTTCGCCTCGATAAACTCGCGGGGGCGGTCCGGACGATATTTGAGTGTATAGGCGAAGACCCCGACCGCGAGGGACTGCGAGACACCCCGGAGAGATATGCCAAGGCGCTGATGTATTTCACCAAGGGCTACGAGGAGAATGTGCGGGACTTGGTCAACGGGGCAGTCTTTCATGAAGACCACGACGAGTTGGTCATTGTCAAGGACATTGAAGTGTTCAGCTTGTGTGAACACCACATGGTGCCATTTATTGGGAAGATGCATATTGGATACATTCCCAACCGGCGCGTGCTTGGATTGTCGAAATTGGCCAGGCTGGCGGAAATGTTCTCGCGCAGACTGCAAGTTCAAGAGCGGTTGACGAAACAAGTTGCTCTGGCCATCGCCGAAGTCCTCAAACCACAGGGCGTCGGGGTCGTGATGGAGAGCAGTCATCTTTGCATGGTGATGAGAGGCGTGCAGAAGACCAGCAGCTCGACGACGACGAGTTGCATGCTAGGCGCCATGAGGAGCAGTGCCAAAACCAGAGAGGAGTTCTTGAGCCTGTTGAACCGGAAGTGATGGTCCGTGCAGTCTTGTACGACGAATGAATGGATGGATGGACGGAGGGCTTCTGCTGTCTCTCGGGACCGCGTTTATGATCAGAGACATGTCTAGGCAAATGTGTGGCGCTTTGGCGAAATTTCAACAAACATATGGGAATTGGCGTAACCTCAACTCAACGGTGGTTAAAGTCGCTATCGATACCCAAGGTGAACGGTACTTTGTACTGGATGGATATATATATGGGAGCAGCTCGGCTTCCTAGTAAATATGGATATGTATGATGCTTGGTTTGGCTGCTTTGTTGTTTGCCTCCACGTCCCCACGTAGCTCTGAGGTGAAGTCGGATGACCAGGAGATTGTTCTCTACTCGATGCCTAGGCTTCCTGTCAGCAGTGACTCGTATATCCCTACCATAGGTGTATCCAAAGAGATGTGATATGTGGCTGCTGCACGTGACGTGCCTTGGCACCATTTGCTCATGGGTTCGTGACTTGTGACTGGGATATCGTCTCTCTCTCAAGTCCCTCGTCTGGTATACCTCTTTGTGTCTACGGACTGAGATATTCTGTCGACGTACTCTCAGTCTAGTGAATCTTATTGCACCTGCCTCAGAACTCGATAGACGCTCGCCCGCGCCAGGCCGAGCCACGCACACTCCGCCTGGTGAGTCTATCAATCCAGACAAGGCGGAAACCGTTCCGGACTCATTGATAGCAAGCTAATTTTTTTGCTTCTTTTGCAAACGACACAGTCTTGCAGCCACTGGTCCTCGGACTCAGCCTTGCCGCACGTATCTCTGTTACATCAAGATTAGCGATAGAGCTCAGCCGGTACCCTGTATCGTGATCAACGATGGGCAAGCTTGTGACAGTAGCGACTTGCTCCCTCAACCAGTGAGTTCACACCCTAAGGATCCACCGGATGAAATCTGACATTTGGCAGATGGGCGCTTGATTTTGACGGCAATGCGGAGCGCATAATCACAAGTATCAAGCAAGCCAAGGCAGCGGGAGCTCGGCTGAGAGTCGGGCCTGAGCTGGAGGTTTGCGGATATGGAGTACGTGGTCCTGGCATTCTGCTCCAGTCCTGTTTGAGCGTGTATACGATTATGGCTGCCCAATCTGCTACGGCTTGTCGTGTAGCTAACTGTCCATCAGTGTGCAGATCACTAGTGAGCTCTTTCGACCAAGGTCTACTCAGTCAATCACTAACCATGCCAGCTTGGAGGGTGACCTCTTTCTGCACTGCTGGGAATCTCTGGCAACCATCATCACCCACCCAGATGTTAGCGACTGTATCCTCGACATCGGCATGCCTGTGCGCCACAATTCAGTCCGCTACAACTGTCGCGTTATTGTCTTGAACAAGAAGATCCTCCTCATCCGTCCCAAAATGGCCATGTGCGAGGAAGGCAACTACTTTGAGTCTCGGTGGTTCACTCCGTGGACACGGAAACGAGAAGTCGAAGACTACCCCCTCGAAGACGCAATTAGCAGCGTCACAGGCCAGCGAACTGTATGTCAAAGCCTGTGTTTCTCGTTCGCGATGTACAGCTCTGTTCAGGCTAACTAGAATAGGCACCGTTTGGAGACGGCGTCCTCCAGACCATTGACACGCTGGTCGGCGCAGAAACGTGTGAAGAGCTGTTCACTCCAAATGCTCCTCATATCCATATGGGATTGAATGGCGGTAAGTTAAAGAGCTATCCCGTTTATACAGGGCTTTGTTCTCTGCTTTCCCGTAGCTCTTGTTGCTTACAAGTCATCAGTCGAGATCTTTGTGAATTCCAGTGGCTCGCACTACGAATTGAGAAAGCTGCAAACCCGTGTTTCTCTGTAAGTTCTCGGTATCATCAAGTCTGTATCGGACCAAGGAAGCTTTTGTGTCGAGATACTGGGCTGTCCAAGCTGGTACTGACTTTGCGACCACCAGCATTCGAGAGGCCACGAGACAGAACGGTGGTATTTACGTGGTATGTATTCCTGGGGGCATGATACTACTTTCCTCTAATGCTGACGGTCAATAGTATTCCAATCAACGAGGCTGCTCGGGAGACAGATTGTACTAGTAAGTGCTGCGTCAAAGCGGTCTCGCTGATGCTTTATCTTTACCGATCACCTGTCCCGGCGCAAGGATTTTGTGCTAATGCATGATAAGTGATGGCTGCGCCATGATCTTCGTGAACGGCAGACTGTTGGCTCAAGGGAGCCAGTTCAGCTTGAACGACGTTGAGACTATCACCGCAAATGTCGATCTCGAAGATGGTAGGTGATCCTGCAAGGACCCCACGTCCATTGATAGGCGTTGTTTTCTTCCTGGCTGTCCTTGTAACAATTGTCGAATCTAATGAATTGCCAGTGCGGTCATTCCGTGTCTCTCACTCGCGAGGTCTCCAGGGCGCCGAGGCCCTCCCATATCCTCGTATACCAGTCGATCTCCGCTTGACGCACCCAGGCCTCGAACAGACTGGCAAATTCCTCGCCCCCTCTCCGGATATCCCAATTCGCTATCATTCTGCCGCTGAGGAAATTGAATTGTAAGTGGTCCTCGGTCTCTCCTGAATCATATAATTGCACATTTTGAGGGAGAAGCAAGAGAACCAGCATTTCTTTGGCGTGTTCCTGATCCTCGGAGTCCTGGCAATGTCCAACTCTTGGTATCTGCTGGCTCACAAAACCTCTCTTTCTTTCTGTCTATGAAACTGGAATATTGCTGACGTGACTTTTCACCTGTTGCAGCGCCCCAGCTCTTTGGCTTTGGGACTACTTGAGGCGTTCTAGAACGGCGGGTTTCTTCCTGCCTTTGTCTGGTGGGATCGATTCTGCGTCTACGGCTGTCCTTGTATTTTCAATGTGTCGGCTGCTGTATGACGCTGTCACATCCGAACAAACCCTACCGCACACAAAGGAGCTCGTTTTGGATGACCTCCGACGAGTCTGTGCACAATCCAACGACTGGATCCCATCGAGTCCACAGGAAATCTGCAGTCACATTTTTCACTCTACCTATATGGGATCGAAGTACGTGAGCACTGTCTACCAACGCGCATACCTTGGTTCCGAGACTTTCTCAGACTCAACTCAACTTTCAGTGCTGACACACTAGCAGGAACAGTAGCAAGGAGACCCGGTCTCGAGCAGCGGCACTTGCGAAAGCCATTGGATCCTATCACATTGACCTCAACATTGATGGTGTTGTGTCTGCTCTTACCACATTATTCACTACTGTCACCGGATTTACCCCGAGCTTTACTTCCAGTAATCCGTCCGAAGGGCTTGCTCTACAGTATGTGAATCAAACCCGCGGCTCATACCTTCTTTCTTCCTTTCAGTCTTCATTCAAAAGCTAACGAGGCCTAGAAACATTCAAGCGCGTATACGGGTAAGTTCATTCGGTCCTATGCACTCAAAATATCGGAGTATCATACCGAGCATTCTTCAATGGTCGACGTGCTGACCTTTTGACAACTTGCAGATGGTGATCGCATATTTTTTGTACGTAATTTGGACAGCTGCCCTCTAAGGCAGAGAGATTATCCCCTTGACGGCAATCTGGATTTTCATTGACGAATGATTAGTGCCCAACTCTTACCGAGTGTCCGAAAGCGCAAAGGAGGCGGTGGTCTTCTCGTTCTCGGCTCCGCCAATGTTGACGGTATTTATCTTCCTCTAAATCCACCAAGTTACTGTGCTGATTAGATCAGAGCAGCTCCGTGGGTACCTGACAAAGTACGATGCGAGTAGCGCGGATATAAACCCAATCGGCGGCATATCTAAGGTCGATCTTCGAATGTTCCTCGCTCATGCCCGGGACAATCTCGACCTCCCTCTTTTACAAGGCTTCCTCGACGCCACCCCAACCGCCGAGCTGATCCCGACGACCAATGCCGATGCCCACACTCAGTCCGACGAGGAGGAAATGGGCATGACATACGCCGAGCTCAGTGTGCTCGGCCGTCTGCGCAAGGTTGGCCGTCTCGGCCCATGGGGCGTCTTTGAAAAGGTAACTGTTCCGGCTTCATTGTTGTTCACAACACTAATGTTCCATGCCCAGCTCCTCCCTATCTGGACATCTCCCCCACCAGACTCAGAGGCGATCGCCACAGAAGCTCGCGGCGCACATACAGATCCCCAGTATGTACACAGTGTGGCGCATGGTGAGAGCATGACGCCGCGTGCCGTGTATGAGAAAGTGCGGAAGTTCTTTTGTGAGTATAATTTGTGCTGGGATATTCGCTCGTCTCACGTGGAACAGATTACTATGCAATCAACAGACATAAGCAGACCACCCTCACTCCAGGATTGCACATGGAACAGTAAGTACCAAAGAGAATATTCGATGAAGCCACCGTTTCGGCCGCTTAGCTTGTGTCTTTGAAACTTCTCATACTCACCATTGCCTAGATATTCGCCGGATGATCATCGATATGATATGAGACCCTTCTTATACCCCAGCTTCACAGCGCAGTACCGCAAGATGGAGCACGCAGTCAAGGTACTTGAAGACAGTGCGAGAAATGGTGCTTGAGGCAGAATGTCACGTCTCCGTGGTGTTGTTTTATGTCGGAGTATGTAAGAAGCTTGCAACCATAGACATCCACTCTTCGACGAGCACAAGAAACAGCGAGTAGCTACAAATTGTTGATAGTCTTCTGCGCCAATGTTCTTCTGTACGATTGCACGAAAGAATCTGTCTGTACCTCTCGCAGATCAAGTCTATACAAGCAATAGAGTACGGCCGGCTCTCGCATCTCTGTTACGACAAATTGATGCTAGGAGAAGGTAATCCGGAACTAAGCTCACTCAAGCTCTAGGACGAGAGGAGATGCCGTTCGATCCTATGCCCCCGTCCATGCATGCAAGCAAGCACCGCGCAATACTGACCCGTCTCTTAGCAACGGAGGTAAGGATCAAGCAGGCCAACCTTTTTCCACCCAATCTAGACAGCGGGTATGATTTCCCGGGGTTTCGTTTTCTTATATCGCATCCTACAATCATGTGACGGACCACCCGATTTACGACTCGTACGGTGTTGATTATCCGTCACGATGTGTTGCCCGGTCTTTAAAACAGGGTATTGCTGTTGAAGTCCACAGGGGTGAACTAGGGAGTGAATATACGAGGTCCCTAGATCCATGGTCCCTTAGGGTCTGTCGAGAAAGCCACCCCTGGAAACTCGCCCAGAAAGTTCGATTTCGACAAAGTCAACATCGAAATCCTTGTGACCTTGTTTCCAGAAACTGACCTTCAACTACGAAGAGAACTTGCAGTGATGGGGTCCATCAGCGAAGATGTCCACGCGAATGGCACCGCTACGCCTTCGCCCTTTATCAACAACCTCGACATTGACGTCGTGGTCGTCGGAGGCGGATTCGGGGGCATGTACGCCGTCTACAAGCTCCGCCAGCTCGGGCTGAGCGTGAAGCTGTTCGAAGCGGGATCCGACTTTGGCGGAACCTGGTTTTGGAACCGGTACCCTGGCGCTCGCGTCGACTCCGAGTCGCCGTACTATGGCCTATCGATCCCCGAGCTCTGGCGGACGTGGGACTGGAGCGAGCGGTTCCCCGACCACAACGAGATCCGCCGGTACTTTGCACACGTCGACAAGGTCCTGGACCTGAGCAAGGACGCCTTCTTCAACACCATCATCACCGAGGCGACCTGGGACGGGGGCCGCTGGACGACCAAGACCCAAGACGGTGCGGTCATCACGTCAAAATATTTCGTCGCCGCGACGGGGTCCACGTACAAGCAGTACTACCCCGATTTCAAGAACCTGCGAGACTACAAGGGCATCCTGATCCACTCCGGGTCCTTTCCGAGCCATCGAGTCGACTACTCGGGCAAGAAAGTGGCCGTGATCGGCAACGGGGCCACGGGGGTACAAATCGTCCAGGAGACGGCCAAGGAAGACTGCCAGCTCACCGTCTTCATCCGGACGCCCAACATCGCCTTCCCGATGCGCCAGCGCAAGTTGCCCGTGGAGGAGCAGGAGAGCGCAAAGGTCTTTTACGCCGCGTACTACCAGGCCGCGAAGCTGTCGAGGGGCGGCATCCCTTACAACCCGGCGACCACGTCCATCTGGGGCGTGTCCCCCGAAGAGCGCGAGGCCTACTTCGAGGAACTGTGGCGGCGGGGCGGTTTCTCCTTCTCGTCGTCCAACTACCGCGACCTGATCGTCGACAAACGCGCCAACGCGCTCGTCTACGAGTTCTGGCTGAAAAAGGTGCGCGAGCGCGTCACGGACCCGCACAAGGCCGCCGTCGTCGCGCCCCTCCAACAGCCGCATTTCTTCGGCACGAAGAGACCCAGCCTCGAGCAGGACTACTACGAGATGATTGACCGGCCGAACGTCACGGTCGTCGACCTGAAGACGCACCCGATCGTAGAATTTCGGGAGACGGGGATCCTGACGACGGAGAAGCTGCACGAGTTCGACATCGTCATCCTCGCCACGGGCTTCGACTCGGTCACGGGCAGTCTCACGACCATGGGCCTGACGGACAAGGCGGGCGTGCCGCTCTCGACGAAGTGGAAGGACGGCGTGTACACGCACCTGGGCCTCACGATCTGCGGGATGCCGAACCTGTTCATGGTGTACAGCCCGCAGGCGCCGACGTCGCTGTCGAACGGGCCCCCGATCATCGAGATCCAAGTCGACTGGATCGCCGACGCCGTGGCCAAGATGCGCGCCGAGAACGTCGTCTCGATCGAAGCCCGGCCCGCCGCGGCGCAGAGGTGGCACGACGACATCCAGCGCGCCAACAGCCGCACCCTCTTCCCCTACACCGACAGCTGGTACATGGGCGCCAACATCCCCGGGAAGCCGCGCGAGCAGCTCCTCTACCTCGACGGCGTCGCCCGGTACGCCGAGGTGTGCAAGGCCGCGCTGGAGACGTGGGACGGATTCGACGTGGTTGTTGGGACTTCTGAAAAGATTGACGGAAGTGGTGGTGCCGAGCAGGTCCCGCCTCGTCTGTAGTCTACGTAGCAGTCCATCAGAAAGTTCTGTAGGAGCAAGCGTCTTTTATCCCCGTCAAATAGGTATGTAGTACGTATAGAGTGAGTGGGATAGATGATTAAGAGTTATTCGATATATTCCTCGCTTTTGCCCAAATGCTGCTTGACTGTGCTTTGAAAGTATCGTTCCCCGGGACCAAATGTCAAGATCGAAAGAGTCAGAAACAACACAGTTTTCGCCAGAATTTAGTATGTGTCCACCATACTATTGATCTGGAGTTGATGTTCCATAGACAGCTTTGAGCTCTTCACGCATCATCACTACTGATGTAGTTTCCTTGACCCTGTACGCGTACAAACCTGTGGACGACACACAAGAAAGCAAAGGCAAAGATAGGATAAAGAGTGTTTTATATTTGATTTGAAATGGACATGATAAGACTCTCCCGTCGCGACCTTTAACCCACACCAAGAAGGGTTCATGTACCGAGCTGGACCCTTACAACTTGAGCCCTTTGAACGTCGTCGACGGCCCGTACGCACGCGTCAGCTTCCACGTATACCCCTCCATGGACTGCACCGAGCCCAAAACCCGCTTGGCCCACTCGGTCGTGGAGGACCGACGGATCTGCTCGCCGGGGATGTCGGTGCTGTCGAACTCGTGGATGGTCAGATACCGCGGCTTGTTGGCAGGGTCGATCTGCTCGTAGCGCGTGGCGGCCCGGTACGGGATGATCATGGACAGCATGTCCAGGTGTTGTTGGCGGTACCAGGTGTCGAAGTCGTCCTCGCCGCCGGCCTTGGGCTGGACGGCGGCCGTGGCGATGACGGGGGCGCCTTCTGTTTTTTTTTTTAAACATTATTTTTAGCAGAAAAAAAATATTGTTTACGCACGCTTGGGGACAGGAGCTGTCATTCATTGATCATTGCTAGGAAGCACAGGGGGAGGGATAAACGTGGAAATGAACAGGATGGAGGGGAAAACGCACCAAAGACGCGAATATCCCGCGGCTCGTAAACTTGGGTCAGTCGATACTGCCTCACTTGAAACTCAATGTGATCAGTGATGGGACCGGGAAAGACGTGCTTGCCGAGCGGGGGGATCGAGTTGAACTCCTGCGTCGAGAAGAAGTCGACGTCGGCGACGGGATACAGGGCCAGAAGTGGCCACTCGGAATTGGGGTCGACGTTCTCATAGCGATATGCGTCGTTGATGCCGCTCGTCGCGAGGATGTCCGGGATGTGGACCTCCTCGTACCATTGGTGCAGCTTGCTGAGAGGATGGTCTGTCCCCTTTTTCGGACGTGCGAACGCAACGGCTAGCCCCGGCTGTGGCATATTTGGTGGTGGCGGTGAAGGTGGAAAGTGGTGATGACGGTTGAAAGCGACTCTGGCAAAAACGGATGACTGACTATCAAAAAATTCACTTACTGGTATACAAATAGAGCTTTTCTTTCTTTCGGCAAACGAGCGAGATCGGCCAATCACTGCCTCGGTCCCCATGGCTTTACGTCCAAGTTGGTCTCAACAGATACCACGGGTACCTCGGGATAAGCCGAGGCAAGCCCGGACTTTTGGGCTTGACTCCCTTAAAAGCCAGCAGGATCCCTTGATTTTTGGTAGAGGAATGTGACCGGCGGCGAACATATCCCGGGCGAATACGAGGATAAAAAGTTCGGTGTAGGTCTCAAACAAGGTCGATCCCATCCCAGTCCGTCATCAGCTATTACCCGGGTGGTGTGGCCACAAGGGGGATATCCAGGGCCGCTGCGACATCTTTGACCGCGTTTCGGCATCTGTTGAGTAGTCAGGAAGAATAATTTTATGAGAGAAAAGGGTTCATCCAACATACAAATAGCGAGGGCGTCCATTCCATTTCTCACTCCCTGTGAGGCATGTGTCCTACACAGAAAAGGAAAGTCAAAATAGGGGCAAACTAGGGCAAGCTCGATCACGGATCCAATTATCGCTTAGTTGGGCATGTATATTAACGAAGGTGCCTTCCTAAATAGGAACTAAAGTGGGGCGGCGGGACACGGAAGTGGTTGACGACCAGGACAGAAACGAGTGTCTGTGAATGCTTCACGAGTCTGGTCTCCTCTCAATCGTCGCTGTCCGGCGACTCTCCGGTCTTGTTTTCTTCTGCTCATTGCTTAAGTCGAGGGTCGGGACGGCCTTCTGAACACGGGGGTCGATCGATCTATTCCCCGGCTCATCCGTGCCCACGCCGGTTGCATGGCAGTAGCTTGAGTTGCTTGAGCCAACCTTCCAATCGCAGGTGCGACTTGCCGCGCCACGTATCAGAGGTCCCAATATCAGACACTATTACTGTGGGACGCCCTCGGCGCCGAATCATCAGGACGTAGGCCCGAAACGTGGCTTCAGGGATTCGCGTGACCGGGTATCAGGCATGTTCAACCTGAGTAGAAGGGCTCGCGAATCAGGTCCGGACATACGAAGTACCCCCAGCACCAGCTCACTGTCACCGGCGGCCATCATTGTCCGTTGTTGAATCTCCCATGGCCACCTCCACCCCCTGGAAGCGACAAACGCGGGTACCCCAGACTCTCAAACATCTGGGGAAGTCGATTGATGCGGCCGAACGTCTCCGGAATAGTCACTACTCCGTCTCTTGAGCTCGACGTTAAGAAGTCTGGACCATGTTTTTTCGAGACTTCAGTCCATCCACATGCATTCGTCTTCGTCGTTGTGAAACCAGCAGCAACGCTTGTATTTTGAAACCATGGACGTCGCAGCGCACACCAAGAAACAGAAGATCAATGGGACAACCATCCGAATCCTGGCCTTTGTCGGCTTCGGCACCCTGTCATCAGGCTACTCGGCTGCCATCATTGGGACAACGCTCGGTATGTATACAGATCTAGGGGGAAATATCGCTATTTCCTGTACTATAACTGACGATTGCGACAACAGGCCAACCCTCCTTCAGCGAATACTTTGAGCTCGACAAGAGGTCCGACGCGACTGCTTTGATCTCAGCCATGAACGGTCTCTTCTTTGCTGGCAGTACAATCGGGGTGTTGATTGTTCCATATATCAGTGACAGATGGGGTCGTAAATGGGCAATTACGGTGGTAACTTGACTTTCTCTCCCTTTTCTTGCTGGTGGCAGCTACTCACCATCACTATAGGCGGCGATTGTCAATCTGATATCTGGTGCCTTGCTGGCGGGAAGTGTCCATGTCGGCATGTTCCTCACCTTCCGTTTCTTCGCAGGCGCCTCGTCGTACATGCTTCTCAGTTCTATTCCAGTACGCATATAAACACCCTGAACACGATGCAACTACTGACACAACAACAGCTCTGGATCTCGGAGGTGGTCCCCCCTCGCTTCCGCGCGGCGCTGGTTGACTTTGGCGCTGTCTTTGGAATCATTGGGTACTTCATCCAAGGCTGGATCGGCTATGGGTTCTTCTTCTGGAAATCCGGGGGCCTGCACGCGTGGAGGATCCCTCTCGCGCTGGCTTGCCCCTGGCCGATCTTCCTTCTTTCGGGTATCTATTGGCTCCCGGAAAGTCCTCGATGGCTGGTCATGCAAGACCGTGCCGCCGAAGCAAAGGAGATCATATACCGCCTGCACGCGGACCCCAAGAATCCCAACAATGACTACGCCGCTGCCGAGTTCTACCAGATCAATAAGCAACTGGCCATTGACAGAACGCTGGGAAACTCGTGGATGGACATGATCAGGAAGCCGTCATATCGCAAACGCTGCTACCTTTGTATCGCCACCGCGGCGCTCATCCAATGTTCAGGACCGCTGGTTATCAATAGTACGGGTGTCTCCACGCAACATCTCTTCCTGACTGTGGAAAGCTAATCGAATATATAGACTACGGACCGTCCATCTATAAAAACCTGGGGTTCGATGCCGAAAAGCAGCTTCTCTACCCAGCTGCATGTCTAACTCTAGCCCTCGGCGCCAACATAATCGGCATGTTTACTGTCGACTTATTCTCCCGCCCCTGGTTCATTGGTACCGGCCTCATCGGTTGTGAGCTCTGTCTGATCGTCGAAGCCGCGCTGGTGTCGAACTTTGTCAACACCGACAACAAGTCCGCGCTCTTGGCTGCAGTGGCAATGTTTTTCATCTTCCAGCTCCCCTACGGAATTCAACTTGATGGTAAATGCTTTTCTCGGCCCGAATATCTCGGGAGCATAGTACTGCCCTGGAGAAGTCGGCTGACATGGGAGACAGGCACCCAATTCTCCTACTTCAATGAAATATTCCCGTCACATCTTCGAGCTAAAGGCGTCTCGATTGGCTTCGCCGTGATCGCGGCCATGAACGTCATGTGGCTATCTGTCACCCCAACCGCATTCAAGTAAGCCACCCCTTGCTTTCGCACTTATTCCCCGAGTGCCAAGCACGAACCTGATTGCAACTCACTGATGTTTTGCCAGCCACATCGGATGGAAGTATTACCTCTGCTTCATCATTCCCGGAACCTTGGGCGCCATCTGCATCATCCTCTTCTTCCCAGACACCATGGGCAAACCACTCGAGGAGATTGGCGCCCTCTTCGGCGACGAGGACGAAGTGGCTGTCTACCAGCGCGACATTGTTCTAGACGCGAACAGAAACGTGCTGGTCGACCACGCGCACGGCGACGATGTCATTGACGACGTCATGCTCGAGAAGGAGGGAAAGGTCCACGCCGAGGGCGTCACTAGAGTCGCAAGTGACGTCTGAAAAAGTTTACCACGGAGGTTTGTTCCTTTTCTTACTTGAATCCTTGTTGGGAGATGGGTTCTTACGGACCTAGTCCCTAGTCTCTCTGAGGGTGGTGCTTTCTGAGGAACGACAGTGAAATTATTTCTCTCTCATACACACACAAAAAAAATGATGGTCTTTCGCGGGATTGTGAAACAGGCCAATGTCAATGGCAGGAATGATAAGATGGAAGAGGCTCTCTCTGTTTCTTGGACTGTTTTGTACATAGCAGATCAGCGGTGACTCAAAAGAAGACCAACAGCACCAATGACATTCACCTGCATTAA